CCGTAATTCAATTAATTTGCTTCTACACCAGTTATAAACATTTAGGTTACCTGTCCTCCGCTCTGTGTGCCTTTAGCAGCACACCCCCTGAATTCCCATTAGGAAAGTGCTCACACAATCTCTAGCTTAACTACTTTATGTCCAGACACTTTCACCCCCTTCCTGTCCTGGCCAATTTTCAGCTTTCAGCTCTCTCACATTGTGAATGACAATTATTCAGGCATACGACACTATCCAAATGAAATTATTATCATTTTTTTCAAACAAATAGAGCTTTCATTTGGTGGTATTTAATCACCACTGGGGGTTTTATTTTTTGCTAGAAAAATTAAAAAAAGACCGAAAATTTTGAAAAAAAAAACATGTTTTTCTTAGTTTTTGTCACAAACTTTTGCAAATAAATATACTTTCTTCATAAATTTAGGCCAAAATCCATTGTGCTACTTTTTTTTTTTTTGTAGAAATAACCCAAATCAGTGTGTATTATTTAGTCTTTGTGAAAGTTATAGAGTCCACAGACCACAGTATATATATTTAAAAATGTATCAATCCTGATGTACTGACTACCTATATAATTTCTTGGGGCCCTAAAATGCCAGGGCAGTACAAATACCCCCCAAATGACCCCTTTTTGGAAAGCAGAGAGTCTGAAGTATTTAATGAGAGGCATGGGGAGTTTTTTGAAGTTGTCATTTTTTGCCAATTTTTGAGGGAAATGATGAAAGTAAACAATTTTTTTTTCCACAAAGTTGTCATTTAAGAACTGTCTCTCACACGGCACAGGCATACTTGCAATTACACCCCAAAACACATTCTGCTACTCTTCCTGAGTATGGCGATACCACATGTGTGAAACTTTTTCACAGCCTAGCCACATAGAAGAGCCCCACATCCAATAAGCAGCCTTAGGCGTTCTAGGGGCAAAAATTACACATCTAATTTCTTGACTGTCTATCATGGTTTTGGAGGTCCTGAAGCAGCAGGACAATTGAATTACCCACAAAATGACCCCATTTTGGAAAGCAAACACCTCAAGGTATCTTTAAAGAGCCATGGGGAGTCCTCTGAAGACTTATTTTTTTGCCACAAGTTTTTGTAAAATGTGAAAAGAAAATGAAAATGTATTTTTTTTTACGCAAAGTTGTCAATCTATGAGATATTTCTATTACACAGCATAGGCATACTTAAAATTACACCTCAAAATTCATTCTTTAACTCCTGCTGAATATGGAAATACCAAATGTGTGAGACTTTTTCACAGTCTGGCCACATAGGGGGGCTCCACATCCAATTAGCACCTGTTAGGGTTCTAAGGGCAAAAATTATACATCTAATTTCTTGACTACCTATTGCCGTTTTGGAGGCCATGGAGCATCAGGACAATGGAATTACCCACAAAATGACCCCATTTTGGAAAGCAAACACCCCAAGGTATGTTTTAAGAGGCATGGGGAGTCCTCTGAAGACTTAATTTTTTGCCACAAGTTTTTGTAAAATGTGAAAAGAAAATGAAAATTTATTTTTTTTTGCGCAAAGTTGTCAATCTATGAGATGTTTCTATTACATGGCATAGGCATACTTAAAATTACACCTCAAAATGCATTCTTTAACTCCTGCTGAATATGGTGATACCAAATGTGTGAGACTTTTTCACAGTCTGGCCACATAGAGAGGCTCCACATCTAATAAGCACCTGTTAGTGTTCTAATTACACATCTAATTTCTTGGGCCACTTGTGTGGCAATCAGGAACACTGCTGGGCCACTGCGGTGATCAGGGACACTGCTGGGCCACTTGTGTGGCAATCAACAAAACTGCTGTGCCACTGGAGCAATCAGGGACACTGCGGTGATCAGGGACACTGCTGGACCACTTGTGCAGAGATCAGGGACACTGCTGGGCCACTTGTGCGGTGATCAGGGACACTGCTTGGTCACTGCGGCGATCAGGGACACTGCTGGGCCACTTGTGTTGCAATTAGGAACACTGTGGTGATCAGGGACACTGCTGGACCACTTGTGCGGTGATCAGGGACACTGCGGCGATTAGGGATACTGCTGGGCCACTTGTGTAGCAATCAGGGACACTACTTGGCCACTGCGGTGATCAAGGCTACTGCTGGGCCACTTGTGTGGCGATCAGGAACACTGCTAGGCCACTGCGGTGATCAGGTACACTGCTGGGCCACTGCGGTGATCTGGGACACTGCTGGGCCACTTGTGTGGTGATTAGGAACACTGCTGGGCCACTTGTTTGCCGATCAGGGACACTACTACTGGGCCACTGCGGCAATCAGGGACACTGCTGGACCACTTGTGCGGCAATCAGGGACACTGAGGTGATCAGGGACACTGCTGGCCACTTGTGCGGCGATCAGGGACACTGCGGCGATCAGGAACACACTGCTGGGCCCCTTGTGTGGCAATCAGGGACACTGCTTGGCCACTGCGGCGATCAGGGACACTGCTTGGCCACTTGTGTGTCCTTATTGGGCACAGCTGATCACATGGTATAGGACCGATTTCATTGGTCCTGTACCATGTCACAAGATCCGTTGTGTCCGTCGGACTCGGCGGTCATTGGGCTCGCGGGTGCACACTTTAGTGGCATCGCACGAGCCTCAGATGCAGGACACCATTCAGAAATGGCAACCCACTCCTGGAGGTGTCCCGTCCCGCTGTTCATAAACAGCAGCCGGACGGGAAGTGGTTAAGGCTACTTTCACATTGATCCGCCGCAAAAAAACGCATATGCGCTTTTGGTGCATTTTGTAAAAGACATCTTCTCTCCCCAGAGGATAGTTGTCAACCATCCCTGGCTGCAGGGTGCAGCCCTCGAAATTTGGGCTGGGCAGTGAGAAGAACACAGCGGCGGGAACACAGTGGCGGTGGGAGGGAGGGCAGAAAGAAAATCGTTCTGTGCAGAGCCGGGGCTAGGGGTGTGTGGGGGGGGGGCGGGTGGTGGTGACAGGAAGTAATCTCCTGTATGGCTTTCAATGAAGCAGCTGGAAGCCACAGGAGGGGGAGGAGGAGAGGCAGCTTCCAGCTGTTCACTGAAAGCCATACAGGAGATCGCTGCCTGTCACCACAACCACCGCCACCCCTCCCACACACCCCTAGCCCCGGTGCTTCTCGCCACCTCCACCGCTGCATAGAACGGTTTTCTTTCGCCTTTCTCCCACCACTGCTGTGTTCTTCTCACTGCCCAGAAGCCCAGCCCCTCCCACCATCCTCAGCATCAATAGAAGAGGGGAGAAAGGATGGATCTGCTTTGCCTCCCCCCTGTGCCCGCCCACATTCCAGTCCCTGCAGCTTCAGAGGAGGTGTGGGCGGGAAACTGAACACAGCAGCCGACAGTCACAGCTCTGATGCTTCTGAAGGAGTCATGGTGAGTCCCCCCCCTCCCTTCCTTCTTTCCACTCACCCACCCCCCCCCCCTTCCACCCCCCCCCCCCCCCACCCACCCCTCCTTCCTTCCCCCCACCCCCCCCCCCCTATCCATCCACCCCCCCCCTCCCTTCCTTCCACCCCCTCCTTTCCTTCCCACCCTTCCTTCCACTCACTCTTCCTTCCATCCACCTCTTCTTTCCTTCTTTCCATCCACCCACTTCCTTCCACCCACCTCTTCCTTCCTTCTACCCACCCCTTCCTTAATTTCTTCAAGGGGGAGAAGTTGGGAGGGGGGGCGCGGCAAAAATGCGAGCTGAACCCCCCCAGAAGAAAAAATTATCTACAGCCCTGGCATCAATATGTATTTTTTGTACATATTCAACTAAATGCTTTTAATGGTATATAACAGACCAAAAGAGAGCAAGCAAAAGAAGGTAATTGTTAAGATTTACATATAGACTCTTTTAGATAAGGATACAGAATACCAAGATAGTAGAATGGCTCCAAGTATCTGGTTAAGCTATGGTACCCTTATAGTCTCAAAACCATGGTCTAATTAAAGGGCATTGCCGGCTCTAACAGTTCTCCTTTCCCTTCAAAATGTCATTCCAGAGAAGTAAGACACAAGGGAAATGTGAATGTAGAAAAAGGAACATTTGGAAATTTAGTCGGGGGTTATTATATGTTTCTGACTACTAACTGTATGACAGTGTCCCAGGAAAAAATTTACTTTATCAGCCATGACAGAATATGGATTGTATGAGCTCTTCTCTGTATACTGATCATTCATTTCCAGCTTTGTCCCACAGTTTTATGCCGAAAAGTTGCCTTGGATTTTCTACTTCCTTTCTATTCTATTATCAAAATTCTGTGTAAATGACACTCACTACAACTAAAAGAAACCTGTCATAAGAGAAACATGTAGGCTGTCACTGCTGAGCTTGCCTTTTTAAAATTGTAGTTGCCTGGCTGTTATTCTGACCTTTTCTTCAATACTTTAAGCAACTAACTTAGAAAAAGCATTCAGATAAGGACTTTTGACTTTTTTTGTGAATGTTCTAATATGCATACTTTTTACTACGTTAGTGACTCAAAGTATTAAAGCATAATTGGCATAATAGCCAGGCAAATATTGTTATCAGAGGGAGGTCAGAAATGGCAGTACCCATATTGCTTTCAGCTTCACTATAAAGCCAGGTTCACCCTACAGTAATGCACATGATGTGTATTGGTGTGCTATGGTGCCATTGATTCTGAAAGGCACCCCATCAAAACATACCTATGCTGCAGTGTCAGGAGTGGTTTTTACTGCGCTGGGGAACACTGGCAGCCTAACCAAAATGAACACAACATAACACGCACCCCCCAGAGATGTGAACCAAATCTAAGACATCTTCACTACTACGGCCTACTATAGCATATCAACCTGTATGCTTTTATACCGAACTTTAATTATCTACCAGTAAGTTAGACAATTTCACCTAGTGTTGATAATGTTGTACATTTTGTAATTCATTAAATATACTTCCTTTCCCATGCTTAGATCATATTTATATGTTATAGGTTGGCATGTTTAAAATCCACCCAGAGATTCCAGAATCCCTGTCTTCAGAAGCTAGAGCCTTCATATTGCTTTGTTTTGAGCCTGATCCAACAAAGCGTGCAACAGTTGCAGACTTGCTTAGAGACTTCTTCCTCAAGCAAGCCAATAAAGGCAAGAAAAGTAAAATTGCATTTAAACCCTCAGGTAAGCAAAAGTAATATTGGTTCCAAGTACAGTGGAGTGCCCTCTGTTGTCTCTTTTAGCAGTGTGCATGTGATCACATGAATGAAAAGAACTAAATCCTCTTTATAATTTAAAAAAAATAGATATAATATTTTACAAAATACTGACTGATATTTACATATTGTAAATGTTGATAGAGAAGCTTTTAAAACCTAAAACCTCGTGCACATGGACAGAAAAATGCTGCTTTTAGAGGCATATTTTTTATGCCGCGGAATGCAATTTTGTCCATGCAAACTGTGGAGATTAGATATGATAAAGTATTGTTAAAATATTGGTGAAGTCAGTAAAGGCAAAGGACTGTAATCTATTAAAAATAACTTTGTATGGCTCTAATAAAATGTCTTTTAAAAAACATTAGCTCATATACCTTTTGTTTTTTAATTTTTGCGGTCACATGACTGCACTACTTCTATCCTTTTCTTCTTTCTGAGTGTGGGTGGCATGTCTGCACCAAAGGGGCGGGGCAGCTGGATGATATCTTGAACAGCAGTGAAAGTCACTGCCAATTAAGCAGGGAATGTATCCGCAGCAGGTAGAAAATGCAGGAGAATGTCACGTAGGCACTGGGCAACAGGGATGATTGACAGCTAAATGGCATGTGGATAGTGGGGCAAGCCACTGTCAATCAAGCAGGAGGTGTGCCTAGAGAAGGGGGACAGGCAGCAAAATAAAGAAAACCGTTGTCAGTCTAGTAAAGCAAAGCTGGTCAGGCCGTGTGACAATAAAGCTGAGTATGGGACTTTGGAAACACTGCGCATCTGCATTGCTGCCTGCAGCAAGCTCGTGGATGCAAACTGACCATGCCAGCACAGATATGTTTCCAAGCTCAGTATGGTTAGTTTGCAATAGGAGAAGATGAAGCTGTAGGAATGCCCAGTAATTGTCAGTAAAAGAGTTCATAGTGGAAGAAAAGCATATGGGGATATTTAATAAAACTGGTACACTCAGAATCTGGTGCAGCTCTGGATGGCAGCCAATCAGCTTCTAATATCAGCTTGTTCAATTAAGCTTTGGCAATACATTCTGGAAGCTGGATGGTTTCTATGCAGAGGTGCACCAGATTTATCACTCTCAAGCTTTAGCAAATAACCCCCATTATGTACAAAATAGTTTATTACTATAGGAATACATAACCCAAACAATCACATGTCTGAGCTGTGCAACATTTTTTTTCTTTTCTTTCTTTGACAAACTCTAATGCCACCAGAGTCATGTATGCTTATTTTCCTGTGATCATAGTTCCAAAAGGTCTGATTTTCCAACAATGGGGCTCTTCAGGTTTTGTACTCTCTGACACAATTTTTTTTAACAAAGTTGCAATGTCACTCTGATCATTTTTAAGTAGAATGTTGTACCCTGGCCAGCTAATTAGTGTAATTACCCTTGGAACAGTGCTCAGGCAGGAATTGTGTTCTTGGCATTACTGAGCTTTAGTTAAGTCTCAAGTAATGACATTTTTCAGATTATTAAAAGCAATGCAGGAGACTTTTGCGAACCAAGTTGAGATTAATTTTCAGATAATATGCCAATCTGATAGTCATTTATTAATAAACTACAAATGTCAGTCACAAATAATTGCTGTTTTGTCGCTATGGGTTATTGTACAATTGTTAAGCATACATTAAAACATTAATTCATAGTTTTTATTGTCTTGGGTAGTAAAATGGTTTTCATTGAACAATGTAGAGAACTTGTAACAGAAGGATCTAGCTTTAACCACAGTATCCCAGGTGACTTTGTGGGGCCCGGCACCCAAAGAGCCAAAGATCACCTGAATGGTTGGTGATTCATCCATACAGCAGTGGAATCTGACTAGTAACTTTGGATCACTCACAAGTCAGAATGCTGTAGAATTAATTAGTGTGCTGTGGCTTATATTATGGATAAACAATATCACTGGTCTCAATTGTAAACTTGTCTTTTATATGGAGGCTGGCTACCCAGAGGCCCACATACTGATTTTGCCACTGGGACCAGTAACATTTATTTATTCTTTAGCTGCAGATTAGAACATGAAAACGAATGCATGACACTGTAAGTAATGGTCCAGTTTTCTTCTGCTCCATTCCCATCTCATTTTTTCTCCCTTGTGTGATTGTATTTCTGAATTGAAAATCCCCCTAGGATCTCCACCATTTGTGTATTGACTTTTTGGTTGCGTACATTTTTTAAAAAATAATTTTTCACATTTTTGGCAGTTGGAAGATGCAGAGTGCAATCTTAGTATCACACATTCCTATGTAAATGCTATTCCACTGTGCTATTCCAGCACAGTGGAACAGCTCAGACAGAATTTATCCTATGACAGAATATACATGCTCCCACACGCTATCCAGGTGTCCTTGTGACATTCATTCACTTAGGAATCTGTGAGCCCCGGTGCCATCTGTCCACTCATCATTTCAGCACCCATCTGATTGGGCTCTCTGCACTCAATGGAGTGTACCAAATCTTTAACTCATTATCATGCAGTTGCAAATATGGTGTTGTTTACACAGATTACAACCGCAGCACATCTCTACCACTACCAGTGCCGGGAGAGCTGGCAGGCAGCAGCAGCAGTGAACATGGATCGGTATCACCAGACTCAGATGCAAAGCACGAAATATTCTTTGAAAAGGCAAAAAGATCCATTTCTGAAACTGCTTCTAGTAAAGCTACAACTACCAATTTAAGGTAATATTTTTTATTCCATCCTGTGATCATTCCTAGTTTATGGTTAACAGAGGTAATTCAACTTGGGTTCTTTCAGAAATCAGCAACATCAAGATAGAGGTTGGCTCTTGGTGGTCCATTCATTCAAAATATCCAGTTGAAATGAGAGAGATTATCTGCTGTCCAAACCTAGCCAGGCCTGAATTTTGTCTCCAGCAGTGTATGCACTGAAAATAGTTTTTGCTTTAGAGAATTAAAGAAAATTACTCCCCAGCTGCAGCAATATATTTCATGTCGTGTACAATTTTTGAAAACAACATATAAAGCAGATCCCCAGGAATGATCTTTTTCGTAAACTCACATTGGTCTAGTTTAGCTTGATGTAAGTATCCATATCTGATATCTGGAAGGCTGCTGGGGATACTGAATATCAATGTAGTAGCCCACGCTACATACAGTGACAGCAGTGATTTTCCATGTGTTGCATGAATATAGGGAATCACTCTCTGCCATTCATTATTTTTTCAATGTATACAAAGCGTTCTTTGATTGAATGAGGGAGGGGAATATGACATCTTCCGCCCTTCCTCTCCCACCTCATCCAATTAGAGAATAGTTGTACTGCTATGTTTATGTACTAACAATGCACATGCTTATAGTAGGAAGAACAGAGTGACAGAGAGATGAGCTAATCAGTGTCCTGCATATCCATTCACTGTACAGCTTAAAGTGAGCCTGACCTTATGCTAAACTAATTAGAACAATGTATTTCATACCTATTTCATGTAAATTATTTGAATGCTTTCATTTTTTTCATGTTGATAGTCAGGTTTGCATTGTGCTGTAACAGCAAATGAACATGCTTATGGACAAAGTTACATGATGGGAGCAAAATTAAGTTAGTTTAGTTAGTTTATATATAGTCATTGTTCATGTTGTTTATTATTCAGTGTGCCAGATGATGGTTCAGTGTCAGAAGACAGAAGTACCCCTCCATCTCCGGATGAGAGAGACTCTGGATTGTTCCTTCTGAGAAAAGACAGTGAACGCCGTTCTATACTTTATAAAATCCTTAAGGAAGAGCAGAATAAAGTCTCATCAAATCTGCAGGAATGTCTCAAGCAGGTAAAAAAAAAAATCTACATTGTCTATCCATCAGGCTAAATTTCCTGAAATAATCAAGTCTGGATGTGTCATATCCTGCTATACTTTCTAAATGCTTCTGGTCATTCCAGCAATGAGGACTATAGACCACCATAGTCCACCCTAGTATACAGTTGCAAGAAAAAAGTATGTGAACCCCTTGGGATTACGTGGAGTTTTGCATGAATTGGGCATAAAATGTGCTCTGAACGTCATCTAAGTCACAACAATAGAAGAACACAGTCTGCTGAACATAATACTACACAAACATTAGATGTTGCCATGGTTTAATTGCACATAACATGTAAACATTCACAGTGCAGGGAGGAAAAAGTATGTGAGGCCCTAGCTTAATGACTTCTCCCAGAGCTAATTGGAGCCAGGAATGAGCCAACCTTGACTCCAATCAGTGTGATGATATTGGATGTGTTGCTGACAGCGGTCCTGCCCTTAAAAAACACACACCTATTTTGGGTTTACTGGTTTCAAGAAGCACTGTCTGATGTGAACCATGCCTCACAGAAAAGAGCTCTCAGAAGACCTACGATCAAGAATTGTTGATTTGCATGAAGCTGGAAAGGGTTACAAAAGTATCTCCAAAAGCCTTGATGTTCATGTGTCCACGGTAAGACAGACTGTCTACAATTGGAGAAAGTTTAGCACTGTTGCTACTCTCCCTAGGCGTGGTCGTCCTGTAAAAATGACTGCAAGAGCACAGCGCAGAATGCTGCATGAGGTAAAGAAGAATCCCAGAGTGTCAGCTAAAGACCTACAGAAATCTCTGGCACATGCTAACATTTTTGTTGACACATCTACAATAAGGAAAACATTAAACAAGAATGGAGTACATGGGAGGACACCACGGAGGAAGTCATTGCTGGCCAAAAAGAAGATTGCAGCACGTTTGAAGTTTGCAAAAGAGCACCTGGATGTTCCACAGCACTACTGGCAAAATATACTGTGGACAGATGAAACCAAGATTGAGTTCTTTGGGAAGAACACACAACACTATGTATGGAGAAAAAAAGGCACAGCACACCAACATCAAAACCTCATCCCCACTGTGAAACATGGCGGAGGGAGCATCATGGTTTGGGGCTGCTTTGCTGCCTCAGGGCCTGGACGGATTGTTGTCATTGATGGGAAAAATGAATTCCAGAGTTTATCAAGACATTTTGCAGGAAAACGTACGATCATCTGTCCGCCAACTGAAGCTCCGCAGAGGATGGGTGATGCAACAGGACAATGACCCAAAGCATACAAGTAATTCAACAAAACAATGGCTGCAACAGCACAGAAAATGCCTTCTGCAGTGGCCCAGTCAGAGTCCTGACCTCAAGCCGATTGAAATGCTGTGGCATGACCTTAAGAGAGCGATTCACACCAGACATCCCAGCAATATTGCTACACTGAAACAGTTTTGTGAAGAGGAGTGGTACAAAATTACTCCAGATCGTTGTGCAGGTCTGATCTGCAACTACAGGAAACGTTTGGTTGAGGTTATTGCTGCCAAAGGAAGGTCAACCAGTTATTAAGTCCAAAGGTTCACATACTTTTTCCTCCCTGCACTGTGAATGTTTACATGTTATGTGCAATTAAACCATGGCAACATCTAATGTTTGTGTAGTATTATGTTCAGCAGACTGTGTTCTTCTATTGTTGTGACTTAGATGACGTTCAGAGCACATTTTATGTCCAATTCATGCAAAACTCCACGTAATCCCAAGGGGTTCACATACTTTTTCTTGCAACTGTAGGTACAGAAAGTAAAGGTCCTCATGGTCAGTAGCATCACCACAGTCATCCTGCATACTTAATTAATCGATTTATAATTCTAAATACAGGTTGTCTTAGAAATATAGACCAGGGCAACATTTAAGAAGTGGAGATCTACACGAACAACATGAAAGAGAACAAAGATTATCGGGGTTCGACAGCCTCTTTTTTTGGAAGACATTAACTATCAAGGCCAAACTAAGTAGTAAGGAAAACTTAGGAACATGTAATAATACCAATGTCACTGTAAAAATATAGACTTAGCCTGCCTAAAAGTGTGTCAGTGTGGACAGTGTCAGTCAGTAGAGCAGTGGAAAGTGTCAAAAGGGCAGAGAATGGTGTAGACAGTGTTTTTAAAAGCAGTGAACGGTGTGGACAGTGTCAGTAGGGCAGTGAACGGTGTCAGTAGATCAGTGGATGGAGTCAGTAGGGCAGAGCACGGTGTCAGTAGAGCAATGCACGGTGTCAGGCAGGAGAGCAGCAGAGAGTATGTTAGCAGAGCAGAGGGAGGTGTTAGTAGTGCAGTGGACGGTGTCAGTAGGGCAGAGGTTGCTGTTAGTTGGGCAGTGGATGATGTCAGTGTTTTGTTTTTTATTTGTACTTTTTAATTATTTTTTACAATTTTAGATTCATTTTTACAATTTTTTTTTTTTTTTACAATTTTTTTGGAGCCCTGTTGGGGAGCTTTGAGCTCATAGGAGACAACAAGCAACACCAGGAAGAGGAACCTGGAGATGAGGGGCCAGCCCTTAGTGGAACTGATGACTGTATTTTCCTGCAGCAACGGGTTGCTGACCCCCCATATAGACAAACATATAGCATTTCATGCTTCCCAAGCTATTATGGACTTTAAGAACCCGTACTTTGCTATGTAAATAATTTCTTTAAGAAGTGCCATGTCTGTTTTGCAGAGCTCAGAAGATGTGCAGCTTTCAGTTACTCACATCAAACAGATTATCAGTATTCTGAGAGACTTCATCCGCTCCCCAGAGCACAGGGTCATGGCCTCCACAATCTCCAAACTAAAAGTGGACTTGGACTTTGACAGCACATCTATAAATCAAATCCAGCTGGTCTTGTTTGGGTTTCAAGATGCAGTAAGTTCTGAATTGGTACAACCTATATTGGCTTACTTAAAACCCTTGCAAAAAAGCAGTCTATAAAAATACATGCCAACCAATTAGCTTTAAAGCAGTAGTAAAGTCTTCCATAATAAAAAAAAAAAAAAAACAACAACAACAAAGCTTCCCCCTGCAAGTTAAGGGCATTGCATACTAGCACATTATTAAATACTTACCTTAAAACAAAGCCCTCCAGTGGCACGCTGTCACCTCTGACAGGGCTTCCATCTTCACTCAGTCTTCCTTCTGGGTTCGCGGGCTAAGGCCGTTTGAATGGCTGAGCTGTCATGACGTGACTCCTGCACATGTGCACGGGAGTTAGAAGCATGGCACAAAGCTCTGAAGGGAAGGCATGAGTATGCTGTCCCCTCAGAGCGCATGCGCCGATGTCATCACTGGCTGCAGAAACAGTAAATGCCTTCTAAATGGTGCTTGTTTAGGAGATATTCCTTGTACATACAGGTATGATTTATTATAAGCTTACCTGTAGGTACAATTGTCCAAGCGGTGTTTACTACTGCTTTAAGGCCGCAGTTCACATTTTTTTTTTCTCAATTTACACACATTTCCATGTATCACGCATAGAGCAGCCCACTCACTTGAATGGGTTGCCCTATGCACATTTCTTGCGCCAAAGAAGCTCATGTACCCAATTTTGGTGCTAAGGTGCATTTTTTCATGAGTGTTTTGCTGCGATTTTTGCGTGTTTTGTCATGCAATTATCACACTAAAATCACTCCACATTTGGGGAGCCTTTAAGAATAAATGGCATCCAAACATACTGTGCGTTTTGCGTAGATTTTAACATGATTTAGAAACATGCTGAAATTAGGGCAAAGTGTGTGATGTAAACAAGTCCTTAAGCTGAACTCTTTTGGCCATTTGCTATGTAAAACTAATGAACACAAATGAAGTGTGTGCAATTTGCAGCCACTGCAGCATTAAGTCATTTTAGCACAGTCAACATCTGACATCTGGCTCTGAAAATAACAGTTCCATCTGATGTACACAGATCACAGTGGGTTGCCCGCTCTGCAGCTCGTCTATTCTTAAAAAGTCTAGTCAACATTCTTTTCAATTAATGCGAGGTGTTCTGTGATTGGAAGAGGTACAGATGAATCTCACAACTTCCCCTCCTCAAATCATACAGCGCCTTGTATTCATTGAGAAGATTACAAGATGTTTTAGAATGGAAGAGCTGCAGAGTGAGCAAATTACCTGCAGTGATCTGTGTCCTCCACCTAAACTGTAAGTTTCAGCTTCAGAAGTTAAATGCTGACTGCACTGTACAAGAAGACTGAAAGTAAGAGTATTACATGACACAGCAGTGTCTGCACATTGTACACACTTTATTGGTGTTTCTTTTTAACAGCAAATGACTGAAATTTGTTTTGGCCAGAGTTCAGCTGTAAACAGTTTTCTTACATTGAAATAATAGAAAATAGCCTTTTCATTGGTTGCCATTTGCTATTACACTCTATTGATGGATGCACTATTTTATTAAATAAACCAAACAGAATCAGAAACCTCTGGCAATATATGAAGATGTATAATTAGAGGTGGTATTTTTTTCTGCTTCTCTTGGTAAGAGAAAAAAAAAAAACTAACAACCTTTTACAAGCCATATTAATAGTGTGTTATTGTCAAAAGTGGAATAATGATTGAAGTCTGAAACTTGTGATTAAGCTTGTATAGGGGCTCCATGTCAGCACAGTCGGGTGAGGCCCCGCTCACCCCCTGCCTGATCAGGATGTAACTCAATAAATTTTGGACCCACTTTAGCCAACCATTCCTTTTTCTTCCTCCTGCAATCAGGACAGGTGGCGTCTCCCCTCCTAGCTCTAATGGCTGGCTGTCCGTCCAGAATCACTCTCAAGGTTGGACGCAGTTCCTGTACTCCTTTGCTAACAGCAGTTTGACCAGGGAGCCCCGCTGCTGGTCCTTGAGAAAGCATCAGGCCGTGGTAAAGTACTGCTGGCTATGGGGTGTTACACTGGTGGGGGTTCCTTGGCGGCTGCTGGCAGGGATAAAATCCTTCCATGGCGGCTGCTGGGGATGATGGTGGTGGATAGAGCCGTGGACACTGCTAAGGGGAGTGGTGCTGGCTTCCCCGCTTCTTACCAGTGCTTCTTGGTCAGTGTGTGTGGGCCAGCGTGGAGCATGTGCAGGACTGTTCGGCCAATCAGGAGAAGGGAGGCGGAGCCAGGCTTAAGGGAGCCAAAACTTAAAGATTCTTCTGGCTGAAGCATCTGGCTCCTATGTAACTGTGTGCTCCTGTGCCTGCTCTCTCTCCCTCTCTCTCCTCCACGTATGCATTGCACCTGGGGATGATGGTGGTGGATAGAGCTGTGGACACTGCTAAGGGGAGTAGCGCTGGTCTCCCCGCTTTTTACCAGCACCGCTCAGACAGTGTGTGCAGGCCAGCGTGGCCCACTCTGAGCATGTGCGGGACTGCTCAGCCAATCAGAAGGGAGGTGGGTTCAGGCTTAAGGAAGCCAAAATTTAAAGATGCTTCTGGCTGAAGCATCTGGCTCCTATGTAACTATGCTCCTGCAGCCTGCCTGTGCTTGCTATTCCCTCTCTCCTCCAGGTACGCATTGCACCTGCAAGGCTGTGCTCCTGTGGTTCTATCTGCTGTATTGCTCTGCCTCATGCTCTTGGTTTTGTCTTTTTACAGCAGTGATAACATGCCTACCCCCTCTAAAGACCAGCATTCTCAGAGAAGGTAGGGGAGACGTCGCCATATGCGCATATCCTTTTTCAATGACTAATTTTGTCTTTTTTTGTCTGTCCTGCTCCTCGGGTCTTGGTCATGATCCTTCTCAATGATCAGAAAGGAGAAGCTCAGAAAGGAGTAGGAGACGGTCATCTGCAAGGGAGGACAACATTCAGTGGCCTCGCGTTCCCATTCAGTCTCTAGGGGTCAGTGCTCCCCATCACGATACAGCAGAGATTCAAATCATGACTAACCCAGACCAGGAGGATGCTGGGCATGCCATAGAAGAGACATGCCGGGCAAGACGGCTTGTGAGACTTGCTTCAAAGTAGCAACCAAACACCAAGAACACGATAAGGCAGAGATGGTATCGCTAATGAAGTAGGCATTTGAGGAGATGCTAAAAGCGTTTGCATTGCAGTCGTAGCCTTCAGCTGCCCCAGTTCCGTCCACCTCGCACTCCTTGTCTCCGCAGATGCTGCCAGCTAGTCAGGTGATTCCAGAGGCCCAGGAACCTTCAGCCTCAGACTGTGTTTTCTTCAGAGGAGGATGAGGGCCCTTATGACGGTTTTGATTTTGCCATGGGCCAGCCTTTCATAAAAGAGATTAGGCAGGATCTGCTTTGTAGAGACGCTGAGGAAGAACCGCAGAAGAAGCAGAGGAAGTTTTTCACAACCATGAAAAAGAAGGGGGTGAATTTCCTATTCATGAAAGAAATTTAGGACATAATTACTGATGATTGGAACCAAGCAGATAAGAGAAACACTTTTAAGAATCAGTTTGCAAACATATATCCCTTCAAGTCTGAGAGTATTAAGAGTATGGAGGAGCCTCCAGTGGTGGACTTATTCGCCTCGCTAGGCACGTAACCCTGCAGTGACATTCAGGGACGTGCTGAATAAAAGAGTGGATGTGATCTTGAAAAGATTTACACACTTGCTGGTAGGGCGTGTAGACCTTCTATGGCTTTGGCAGCTATTTTGAAGGCCATGGAGTCCTGGATTCAGAAGTCAGAAGTGGCAGTGGGAAGTGACCTGAGCAAAGCCGAAGTCTTGGCCTCCTTTGCCAATTTGAAGCTAATGGCTTATTTTATGACGGAGGCATCCATTGACCTAGTTAAGATGTTGGCCAGGATCATGCTTAATGCAGTAACAGCCAGAAGAGCCCTATGGCTGAGGCCCTGGGTGGCAGGCCCAGCCTCCAAACAAGGATGGTGTAAGATACCATTTGAAGGGCAGTCCCTGTTTGGAAATACATTAGACACTGCCATCGCAAAAGCCACAGGGGGACGTCGGGGTTTGTTCCCCAGGATCAGAGGCTGCTTCGCAGAAGAGGTGCAGTATACAAAAAAGGTAGAGATGCTAAGTCTTATAGGCCAGGGAGAGAATTTCATTATCTATGATCTAACACGGCTGCAAACCGCAAGTCAAAGAGACCAACTTCGTCTCTGGGAAAGTTGTCCCAGAAGTCTTTTTGACTATCTGCTGGCTCAAACTTGTCACGTGGGAGCCAGATTATTCAAGTTCCGTCAGGTGTGGGCACAAGAGGTAACAGAGCCTTGGGTAATTTCCACCATCCGGTTCGGCCATGCTTGGAAGTTCCTGAGGCATCCACGCAGAATCTTTGTCCCGACAAAATTACCTTTGGCAAGAGAAAAGCCGGATGTTTTTGTGGAAATACATAGAAACCCTCCTCAACCAGGAAGTGATAGTTGCAGTACCCCAGGAAGAATGTTTTTCTGGAATTTACTCGCCTCTATTTCTAGTGCAGAAAAAGTCGGGAGCGTGGAGACCGGTAATAGACCTCAGAAGGCTCAACATGTATATCAAGAAACACAAATTCAAAATGGAATCTCTCCAGACAATTCTGAAAATCATTCAACCAGGGGACTGGCTTCTATCAGTGGACCTCAAAGATGCGTATTTCCATGTACCGGTAGCCCCAGTCTGCCAGAAATTTCTACGGTTTGCAGTAGGGCATCTCCACCTCCAGTTTGTCTCCCTACCCTTTGGGCTGACCACATCACCCAGAGTATTCACGAAGATACTTCTGGCCCTAGTGGCATACCTGAGGTCGCAGGGAGTGTGAATATATCACTACTTGAACGACATTCTGCTCCTGAATCAAGACAGAGAGATGCTCCTGTCACACCGAAGGTTAACCATGGAGACGCTACTGAACTTCTGATGGTTAATCAACCGGGAGAAACTGTCAACTTGTACCAACCCAGAACCTAGTATACCTAGGCGCAGAAAGTGTG